TTACACATATCAGGTACCCGATTTTCAGCATTAATACTACACATATCAGGTACCCGATTTTCAGCATTAATACTATACATATCAGGTACATATTTGATACATATGAGTAACATATCTGCTACCTGATATATTAGTTTTTGACCAGTATTATGGATTATAATTTATAATACCCTTCCTATATATAGTACTCCTTAAAAAAAAAGTCACATTCTTCATTAATTTTATTATTTAAATAATTCAACAAATATTTAGATGAGATGTGTAATAATATTTAATTATTTTATAAGTTTTAAATATCTTCAATTAGTAGTAAAAATTTGCGTAATAGAAGATATAGAATTAAACCTTTAAAATTTGCAATCTAAATTTCATTATTCAAAATACTTGTATATTTAATTTTAATTTCCTATTATTATTAATAAAAATAAATAATAATAAAAGGTAAATAATTTTAAAAAAGTTTAATGCATTTTTTTTTGGAAGCTATTGTATTTTTTTTTCATAATTATCAAATAATCTGATCTTATTTTTTTTTTTTTTTGCTAAAGAAATTTAAAGAAGCTAATATAAATATTACTATTTAATAAATATAGCCATTAACTAAATTTTTTATTATATACTTTTTTTTTTTTTTTTTTTGCTGCAGTATATTCAGTAGTTTATTAAAAAAAAAATCTTATCTTTTTATTGTATTTATTATTATAAAACATATTATTATTATTCATAAAATATGTGAAACAGTTAATTTTTATATAATAAAGAAGTACAATTATTTTGTATAAAATAGTACAGTTAATTCTTTTTATAGTTAACTCTATTATAATATGATATTATCCTATATAATTACCTTAGTTAAGTGTTCTAAATTTTTATATATAATAACTATTACATTTGTTTTTAAAAATTATATATATATGTGATTATAAAAAGATATTTATTAAAATATAATTATTCTAAAATTTAATAATCAGATTTCAATATTTTTTAGCTTATTGGATTCATTTTGTTAAAAGAAATCAAATGATAGTAATTTTATAGTAATTAGATTAATATTAACTGAATAATTCAATTTTAAAGATCAAATTAGCATTTTATATACTGTATGTAAAATTTGTATAATATTAAATATTTTAACTTTATTTAATTAATCCAAGTTCTAGAATAAGTGCTGTCAGAATTATATTTATAATTACAATATACAGTCAAACCTTGATATAGCGAACCCTTGATATAGTGAATTTTTTAGACAACTATAATAAATTTCCCTTTGCTATAATGAATTAACCAATCAAATCTCTTAAAATCTTCACTATAACCTTATAGTGAAGTTAAGGTCTGGACCCTAGAATTCATTATAACAGGGGTTGACTGTATACTGTAATGCTGTAATTATACATGAAATTGAAATTAGTTAATTTTGACCGCTGAAATGGTTGAAATGGTTCAATTTGGGCTTTCCAAAAATTGAAATGGTTAAAATTACATCATAGTTATATGATTTTATAGTAAACAATAATATTAAAATTCAAAGTTAACAAACTCTGTATTCAGTGATTCGATTTTTATGATCATTATACGGTTGGATTTAGCTCATTGAGAGGATTCCAATAATATGTATTTCATATTTGCAGCATTAATATTGATGGAGTTATTCACATTTAAAATATTATATTTAATTATATGGTCCAGTGCAAAAAGATTTGTACATCACTAAAAAAGGACAAGATTTACGCCAAAGAAAAATTTTGTAAAACTAAACATAACGGGCTGAGATTTACATATTTATTAGTAAATAATTGCCCGAATTTGCTGATAAAAATTTTTTTTATTGTATGATACTTTCTTCTTCCTTAAAATGAAGTGGCATACCACTAACAGACAACGAAAAACTAATGAATATAAAGTATGCATAATTATCTTTCAAAGGCTAATTTTACAAAAGAAAGTCATCTGGAGCTTAAATTACGCAAGTAAGTTGCTGAAACACTAATTGTACCAAGGGTACAGTTGGGAGCATTGCATTAGACTGGAATAAGTATAGTGATTGCACATTTACACCACATAAAACACTTTGGATGGCCTAATCCAACTTCAAGCATGAAAAACTGGAAGTCAATATTGTTTTTCAAATAAATTACAAAAACTAGAACTATTGGAGCTGGTTTAAATGCACAAGAAAATGATACTATTTTCTTGCATTAAAATAGCAAAACAATATGATCATGAAGTTTTTATATGTTACCTATTATTATGAACTACAGCCAATTGAAGGTGTTTAAGCAGTTGTAAAAGGTGAAATTGTAAGATCCTAAATTATTGCCTGTTTGAAATACACTTTTAAATGCATTAAAAAATGAAGTTCAACTTAAAGATTATAATGAATTTTAGAAAAAAGTGCTTAAAATACCAAGGCATATTTTAGTATATTTTGAGGCTAATGAAAATGTCCAATTAATTAATAAAGAATCTAATAATTATAGTGAATCTGATGGTGATGCACAATTTGGTGTAATAATGATATTATAATATTTCCGAATATATACTAATAAGATTTATATAAAAAAAAATGAAATTTAATTTATTAAAAAATTTTTTATTGACATTTATTTTGATGTACAAATCTTTTTGCACTGGACCATAATTATAAAAATCATATGACTATGATGTAATTTCAATCATTTCGACTTTAATTTTGACTTTTAACCTTTCCAAGTCAAAATATTTCTACTTTTGGACTTTAATTTTGACTTCATTTATAGCTGTAATTAAATATTATAAATTGTAAATTGATTTAAGTAAAAAGAATAAATATATTTTAAAATATTTTTATAATTATTTGCTAAATTAGCTTGCTTATTTGAAGTATCATAAGGCCAGTATTTTATACAATAAGTATATTTTACTAAAAAACAATCAGCAGATTTAAGAAATGTTTTTTTGAAATACTTTTATATTTCACTTTAAAGTCAACTATTTAGATTTCTTTTTTTCTCATTAGATATATTGATTTTAAATTTGTTTGTTAATTTATTAAAAAGTTTTCTTTATAATATAATATATATGATATACTTATTACAAAATATCTATAATATAGAAGTACATTATTATATATATAATATATATAATATATTCATTAATTATTATATTATAATAACTATATATTTAGAATTTTAGAAAAATTTTTATTTCAAACTAAATGTTTTTGATTATCTATATGGATTTATATGATAAACTGATATAATATCTATATTTAATTTCATCATCATATAATAAAAGGTTTTAGTTTTACCCAGTATTATTAAATTAATAAAGCTATATATATCACTTTTGTATTTCTAATTTTTAAAATATTTAATATCAAAATTATATAAAATTTTATAAAAAAATATACAATAAAAGAAATAAACAATATTTTTAAATATTTTATTTATAATTTTTTTATTAAGATCTTGTAAAAAAAAAAGTGTAAGTTTTTAATTTTCTATTATATATCAAATGGTAAAAATATATGAAAATTAAAAATAAGTAACTAGTAATTCTATTTAAATAAAAAAAACTTTACTTATATAAAGCTAATATACACAACTTTAACTTTTAAAATCAGTTACTCTTTTATATATATATTTTAAGAAAATAATTTACTTATCTATTCCAATTTTAGTTTATTTACAATTAATTCTTTCTATAATCACAAATTTCAGAACTACTTACAGTATACTTATTAATAAAAAAAAAAAAAAATAACAAAAAAAAAATAAAAAAAGATATTAATAAAATTATAAAAAAAAATTAAAAAAAATAAAATAAAAAAAAAAATATAAAAAAATAAAATAAAGAAAAAAAAATAATAAAAAAAAAAAAAAAAAAAAAAAAAAAAAAAATGTAAATAAAAAAAAAAAATAAAAAATAAAAAAAAAAAATATAAAATAAAAAAAAAAAAAAACAAAAAAAATAAAAAAAAGATCAACAAACTAAAAAAATAAAAAATAAAAAAAAAAACATAAAAAAAGAAAAAAAAATGAATTATTAAAAAAAATTAAATAATAAAAAAACAAAAAAAAAAATATACAAACAAAATAAAAAAATAAAAAAAAACAAAAAAAAGAATAATAAAAAAAAAACAATTGCTAATATAAAAAAAAAAAAGAATAAAAAGGACCCCGGATATCTAATATAAAGGTCATAATGGACTTTTGGCCAAAAAAACCCCTTTTTGCTAAAACTCAAAAAATCGTTTTTTGTAAATATCTCAGCATCCAGAAATTCAATTTTAATGAACTTTTTTTTATTTTGTAGCCCTCATTTAGCTCTACAATTTAAAAAAAAGGTCATCAAAATTGGACCCCTGGATGCCGAGATATTTACAAAAAACGATTTTTTGAGCCCCTGAAAAATGGGCCAATCTGCCGAAAGTGTGACTTATGACCTGTTTTGGAGATATCCGGGGTCCTGTATTATCAGTTATTCTAATAAAGAAATTAACTTGATTTAATTTAAGAAACCATATATTGAATAGATAATTTTAACAGGAGTATTTCCATTTATTCAAATAGGTATAATATTTTAACAAAAAAAATGACCAACTTCAACAGAATAATATTATATAAAGAATTAAATTATACATTTGTTAATAAGTATTATTATTTAAATTTTAAATACATGATTTTATTATTTTAAAAAAAATTGACATAATTTTTAAATTTTGAAAGTTTTAAGATTTTAATATGCTATCTAATGCAAGAATAATTTTTTTAATTAAAACATAATAACTCGTAATAGTTAATAAATAAGAATATAATTTATAAATAAGAAATATATACTATAAATAAGAATAAATCATTCGCTAAAAAAAAAAAAATAAAAAAATAAAAATTTTGATAATCACAATATTATTAGTCTGCCAAAAAATTTTGGGAGGAATAAGGTAAAAAATGATAAGTTAATAAAAAAGAAATTATCTAATTATATATACATAATGTAGAGAGAAAAATATATATAAAATGGAAAATAGCAATAAAAATAATAAAAAAATAAAAATAAAATAAAAATAAAAATAAAATGATGTAATGTGTAAGAAATAAAATATTCTATATACAGAAATTTTTCAATGATTTCATTTCCGAAGTCTAATTATTATATTGCCGCAGTATTAAATTATGATATTAAGCGGGCACACCCAAATATACTCTGCAACAGCGTTCGACCATCAATACATGAATCGGCAAACACATGTGAGTTGTTGTTACTTCCATGAAAGAAAGTACATGGAATTGATTAAGTACATCCCACATGATCTCAGTATTTTTCTTTTCATTTTTTGGGTTGTATAAAAGGTCAACCTAATTTTTAAAATAATTATTGTAAGGTAAAAAACAATATATAAAACTGATTAGACTGTCAAAAATATATTTACTTGAATAGTGTTAGATACAGTCTCATTATTGTTCACTTCGACAAGAAAACCCGTCGCTTCTGGTCGGAAATCATTGACAGGAATGGGATGATTCAAAACCATGCCGCATATTTTTGAACTTTGTCCATTTCCATCTAATGTCGGCTTGATATCAAGCGTTGTGTCTAAATTGACACTAAAAATGGGCACCTTGCCTTCTGTTACTTTGATCCATACTAAAAATAATATGATTTTAATAATTATGACTAGTTCACAATTTTATCATTGATAATAAATATCTGATTTTACTTACAATTTTTTTCTTCCTGCGTCATGACACCAGTTTTAGTAATTATAATTTGTTTATAACCACCTATATGCTTATTAAAAGCGCATGTCCTGCCCCAAGTCTCTTTATATAAAGATTCTAGGCTTATTTGATTTTTGCTCTCATAAGTTGGAGTTGAGTAACTTCCAAGCTTTTTGCCCTCCATATCAACCCAAACCATAACTAATCTGCGTTGATCAAAGCTAAAACCATACGACATGTGCAAAATTTTGTTGTATTCTATAAGTTCTCTTACTGGAGGTGCTTTCTTTATCAATTGAAACCCGACAGAAACAACAGATGGCTTTGGTAGAATAAAAAGTGGTCTATAAGATTTTGATCGTGTATATACACTGAAGGCCAAGTCTTTAAGAACAGGTCTTTGTCTAAATGGCCTAATACAATTTTCGCCGAATCGAACGACGTGTTCAATCGGTATGAGTTGTGGCATTACATAATTCAATATATTTTTTGTTGAGACCGATTTCAATGATTTTTCAAGGGACGTGTAAAACTTAGCATAGCACTTGAATATGTCATAATAAGCCGTTAAATGATTAAATGGGTTGATAAGATAGATCACAAGTTGTGTTTTCTCAAAATTAGCAATATGCGATGCCAATGAAGAACCTTATAAGAAGATTGATTACAATAAACAATTTTTTTCAAAGATTATCAACATAAATGATATTAAAATTATTTAAATTTATTAACCTACCGAATTCTTCGCATGTTGATTTGTAACTGCGAATCATTCGATCTAACTCTGTTTCATTTCGATTTTGTGCTAAAAACAAACAAATAAATATAAGGAAAATCGTTTATTTAAAGGAAAATAATTTTCTTATTTTTTAAAACTGTACTTACGTTTTAGACGAATGGGTATAATACCTTGCTTGAAGTTGTAATTTGGATTTTGTATAATTCCAGGTTCGTGCATTCCTAACACACAGTGAAGCTATTGAAATGCAAATAGGTCACAAAGAATTATTTTTTTTTAGTAACAAAATATATAGATAAATAACCGAAATTGGAATAAGTACCTCATACTGAACCCGAAGTTCGTTGAAAAAATTTTTCACATGATAATATAATGAATCGCCTTCTGGACAAAAGACAAAGTATTTTACGTCCTTTTTTCCGGCGAATGGAGTGAGATTGTGCTTATCCCAATACTTAACAATCTCCGGAGAAGTCTCAATGAGAAATTTATCGGCACAAACGATTATATCAGGAGTCTTGAGCACCTGAAAATTAGACTCCACACCTTCGTTAATTTTGAATTGAACACCTAAAATAATATAACCAATCAATAATAGTAATTGTAGAAGAGACAAATATACGCACTTACCATTTAAATTATAATAATCTTGAACAGACAGCGGCCCATTGACGGACAATTGTGGATGATTTTCTGGACGAGGAAATTTGACAGAAATTTTCTCGATAACATTCTTTAATGACATAGTAATTTCTTGCTGCTCTGACGGAAGAGCAGATGATGTAGGAAGATCTATAATAAATTAAAGAAAAAGTTAAAAAGCAAAATCTAGAAAATTAAATAATTATTTAACATATTTAATGCTTACCATCACTAAGATTTTCCAAAATTCGTCTACGTGTTTCAATAAATTCAAAAGTACTCTCGCCTTCTCCATGAATTCCTGCCCCAAAAGGATATGAACCACCTGCTATTTGTTCCCGAAGAAATTGTAATGCCATTTCGGATTGTGTATCATTGCAAACTTCGCAATCTGTTAAACGTCGAAGTTGTCGACGTTCACAAAGAACGTAAATATTAAATATCATACTTAGACGTCCAGCATTCAAAAAACCCAGCTCGCGGTGATTTGAAACTTTTGAATTCCCAATCTCATTTTTCCATTCAACCTCCGATTCATCATTTGATTCAATGTCAGATTCAGATTCACTTTCACAACTCTCACTAGTATAATCAATATCGCTTTCACTAGAGTAGTATTCCAATTCCTCCTCATTACGCTTTTGGCTAGGTTTTAAATCATCGTCTGAAGTTTTAGGCTTTTTTGCTTCTAATACCCAAGCAGGTTCATAATCTGGAGTATAAAAGAAACCTCGTTTTCGCTTTTTACGATTAGTAGCTCGACAAAACTTCCCTCCAGGCATGTACTTAGTCATATCAACCTCGTTGTGGAACATTAATGGGGTGTAATCCTCCGGACAATATCTGAGCTTAACTTTACCAATTTCAAATTGAAGGTCACGATCGATTTGCTGTTGTCTATGTTTGGCTAAAGAAATCTGATTTTGACCAACAGATGGAGAATCTTCATTAACTATAGATATATTGCCAGGCGTTTGATCGTTTGTTGTCGGCGAAATTGCCTGCGACTATTTAATGTCAGTTTTTAAAATTTATTAGAAAGCCATTTGAATATGAATCGAGTATTTATTTGAACAGTTACTTACATCTTTATTATCACAATTGTCAAAATCGGCATCGGTAATATCATCATACATATAGTAGTCAAATTCGTACGATCCAACGTCCATTCCCATTATTTCATCAGTTAATTCTGCGTCATTTTGTGGTGGTGGCATTTGAATTTCATTGGATTGTATAGCGTCTGGTGGAGATGGGTAAGCTTTTGTTTCCAATGGCCTCTTCTTTGAGGACCGACCGGTACCCAAGTTATGCCCAGGTGAGCTAGCACTTGAAGTACCATTTCCCATTCCAGGAGTATTAGGTGTCATTGTATCCACACCAGGAGAGGTTGTGCCTAGGTCAACGGAATTTCTAAGCTTCAGAATCTGCACAGCTTCTTTTGAATGATCGTTATACGACCACCATTTGCTCGGCTTTAACTTTTGCTCAGATGAATAATCAACAAAGTTATTAAAAATTTCTGGAACCATTCCTGAATCTCGAGCCTCACAACGATAGATATTATTACTATCAGTTATAACATATACTCCTTTTGCAGGATATGGAAAGTCTTTGGTGAGATTATCGTGCGTGATTTGTACATGCACTAATGTAGGTATTGATGATTCTTCTTCCAAATTTGACAGGTCAAGACCAAATAGAGTTCTGAACTCGTTCAAGACAGCCGCGATATCATCAGCCTCATAACGACGATATGGTAAAAGATTTCCCCTTATACCCGAAGGCGCCAATAAGACTTTTACTACTTCTAGCTTTACTTCTTCCGACTTGGAAAAGTCAGAAGGTGCTAACGGCCTCAAACTTTGATATCTAACAACTGGCTTTACAACCAGATTAGTCGATGTTATGTGAATATTATATTTACAAGACAATATACTAGTTAAATATAAATATATATATTGATTTATTTATTTTTTTTTTTTTTAAAAAAAAAAAAAAAATATTAAATTTTTTCAATTTTTTTCTTTCCATAATTAAAAATTGAAACATACCATTCATATATTTTTTGTTGAAACTTTGGAAATAAATGCAATTCTCCCATTGGAACTGCACCTTTCCCTATTAATGTTCTATTGTAAAAAAATAATGAAGCATTTGTTATAACATGATAACTGTAAATTCGGAGAGTCTGAGAATATGAAATATAAATACCGGCTTATTAAATTTTTTATTGATCTTATAAAAAGGTCAAATTGTATTGCTGAGCTCTCAAAGTCTTCCCATGTGAAGGTTCCCTTTTCAGTAACTTCAAGGCCTATATATTGAAACGATAATTAATTCGGATAAATTTATAAAATATACACAATTTTAAAAATTAAACATAAAAATTACTCTCAAGCCTAGTTAAATTATCCAGGGTTGAAGGATGTTCTTCGGCGTCTTCAAGCCAGAAGACATATAACTCACGAACTAACATTTTATCAGTAAATAAAATTTCAAAGTTTTTTTCATTTTCGTCCTTGTATTTCCACGTACATGGTATACCTTTCTCTAATAATACCATATAATTAACGACGATTGGATCGTCGATACGCGATATATTTTCAACTTCAGACGAAGGGGTAGAAGTGATAAATGAACGGAGTTGGTCTCCAGAACAAGAATAAGTATATTTACACCACCCCACTTTAATTATATTTGACTGGAAGTAAAAAAATAAAAAATTATATATAATTGAAAAAAAATCAAAAAAAATCAATAAATTATTTAAATTATAAATACCACTGTAAGAACATTTGTTACAGCGGATTCAATCGGAGAAATTTTGGTTAAACTGGAAGAATCCATACTGTTGCTAGCTTATGTGATATAATGGAATAGTTCTCAGCCAGTGTTCTTTTTGCTGAAGAAACGAAAATGACAAATTCTTAAATATTAGATGCAAATATTTCAGTCTTTGAGTATAACTTTAACCGTATTACAAAAAATTGGGGCTATCTGCTATAGTACAAAAAAACAGTGCCTTTTTGAAAGTTATCTAAATTGACACACCTGCGACGATTTCTTAATTTCATTCGCATTTTTGATGATTAAAGTTGATTTAGTTGGTTACACCAATTAAATAATTTTCCTATAATAATGTTTTTTTAATCAAATTTTCTCGTTAAAATAATAATGGCACAAAATGTATTTATTGTAGCTGCAAAACGTAATGTTTTGTTTATTATAATATTTGTCATTTTATAATTAATTATTTAATACTATTCATTTAATTATTTATAGGAACGGCTTTCGGCGCTTTTGGTGGCTCTCTGAAGAACTATACAGGTATTGATTCTCTTTAATATTGATTTGCTAAATAGTTAAACTTTTTATTAAAATTATTTTTTAACTTATTAGCAACTGAACTTGGTGGAATAGCTGCAAAAGCAGCTATTAATACTTTGCCGAAGGATGTTCCAATTGATTCAGTGATATTCGGTAATGTTTGTCAAACCGATAATGCTGCAGCTTATTTAGCTCGTCATGTTAGTCATCGCGCTAGTTTACCTACTCACGTACCAGCATTGACTATAAACCGATTATGTGGTAGTGGGTTTCAATCAGTTATTAATGCTGTCCAAGAAATTCGCGTTGGCGATTCAAATATTGTGTTAACTGGTGGTACGGAAAGTATGAGCAGATCTCCTTATACTCTTAGTGATGTACGTTGGGGAACTCGTTATGGAGTAGACCTTAAGTTAGAGGACTCATTAGCTGCAACTCTAGTTGATCAATATCCTACAAAGACACCTATGGGTATTACGGCTGAAAATTTGGGCGAGAAATACAATATTACTCGTGAACAAGCAGACGAATACGCGCTTAGTAGTCAAAAACGTTGGGCGGCTGGTTAGTAATGATACTATTGTTACTTGATTTTGTGTTTATTAAAGGATTATCGTACATTTTTTAATTATCTTTACACTAAATAGCCAATGAAGCTGGGCGATTCAAAAAAGAAATTGTCCCGATTGAAATTAAGACAAAGAAGGGTGTTCAAGTATTTGATACAGATGAACACCCTCGTCCCAACGTCAATATTGAATCACTGGCAAAGCTTCCTTCAGTGTTTAAAAAAGATACTGGTCTCGTTACTGCTGGTAATGCGTCCGGTATAAATGATGGAGCAGGAGCAGTAATTGTTGCTGGCGAGAATGCCATAAAGAAATATAGCTTAACTCCTTTAGCGAAAATCGTTAGTTATAATGTAACGGGTGTTGAGCCTACTATTATGGGAATCGGACCGGTTCCCGCTATAAAGAGCGCTTTGGAAAAAGCCAATCTAAAACTTTCTGATATTGGAATCATTGAAGTCAATGAAGCTTTCGCTGTTCAATATTTAGCTGTAGAAAAGGAATTAGGATTAAATCGTCAAATCACAAATACAAATGGAGGTGGTATTGCTATAGGTCATCCACTTGCTGCATCGGGCTCTCGTATTTTAGCGCATTTGGTTAGCGAACTACATAGAACAGAAAATCAATATGCCATTGGATCTGCTTGTATTGGCGGTGGACAAGGTATTAATTACTTAGTTCTTTATTCACTTTAAAAATCTTTTAACTAAATTTATTACGTCTTTTCTAGGCATTGCAATTATTCTTGAACGTGTAAAATAGAAAGTCCGAATGTTTTCCATCAAAAGGTGCATTACATAGAGATTACATTAAACTGTTGACTTATATTTATAATAAATTCGGGAATGTAAAGAGTATTATTAAGTGTAGATTTATAAATATTATAAAATGTATAATTTTTTGAGGATTTATTTCACACAAATGCGTTAGGTTAGGTTACCTCGTTTTTGCCGTTTTTGCTAGTGATGGGGGAAATTAACGGTTATAACATTTATAACATGGTATATACTCTAAAAAATATATATATCACATTATTTACCATCACTAGACTTTCTACCGCTTTTTCTGAGAGAAAGAAACGTTATTTGTCACCGTCATATGACACACCCGCCTTTTTGCAGAAGATTACCCCCAAAGCATAAAATTTTTTATTATCTTTTATAGATTAATAGATTATCTAGTACCATTAATTTTTCCAGAGGATCTAATTCTTAATATAACTTTCTTCATCCATTCTTCTCCTTGCATTTCAGTTAATCTTGAAATTGCTCTTTTAAAAGCAAACTTTTCTTCCTCACCCGTAAATATAGGCAAATTTTCGTTTTGTTCATCTTTACCCAAATGAAATTCAACATCACCAAATATCGTATGCTGGATACCTTCGGGATGCAATGGAGATTTTTCATTGAATAAATCATGAATTGGTGTATCTGCCGAACAAATTAATATTGCCTAATTTAAAGAAGATAAATTTAAAAACTACGAAAATAAAAAGAAATAAATATCCGAATTAAATCATTACATTACCTTTTTATCATATAAAGCATCAATAAGTGTAATAAATCTTCTTGCTTCATTTCTTAATGCAAAATTCATTTGTGGAATATTAGTTAAAATAATTACATTATAATATTTCATTAATTCTAAATAATCAGCTGAACTTAAAGATCGACAACACAATTCTCGAAAAGTAAATTTCGCTATATCATTACATGATTCCGGTACAATTAAAGATCTACCAAGAAATCTCAATTTTCTTTTCGTAACATGATCATTTTTTGTTAACGTTTTAAATATATTATTTATGGATTCTGAAGTTTGAGAATTCAATGGATAAAAGTAAGCTCGAGTTGTTTCTCTTGCAAGTTTACGATAATCTTCACCAGAATCAAGCGTTTGAATTTGACATTTTTGTTTTATAAGTTCAATGCACGGAATAAAACTTTTTCGTTGTATTCCATTTTTATAAAGGTCATCAGGGTGTCTATTTGAAGTAGTTACAATAACCACATCACGACTAAATAATTCATCAAAAAGACGACGTAAAATCATAGCATCTGCAATGTCTGTTACTTGAAATTCATCAAAACAAAGAATTATTGCATCGTTTGCTAGATCTGTTGCAATTCGTGGTATTGGATCGTAAGTTTCATAATTTGCTTGTTTCAAACGATAAATACGATCATGTACATCTAGCATAAAAGCATGAAAATGTACACGACGTTTACGTTTCGTTAGTAAAGTATCGTAGAAAAGATCCATCAACATGGTTTTTCCTGATCCTACATCCCCATATAGATATAATCCTTTTGGACTATTAATAGTTCTACTTTTAGATAGTGCGCCAAATAATTTAAATATCTATAATGCAAGATAAGAAAGAAATATTAACTTCCTATCAACTTATAAACTAATAACAGTTTAATTACCTTGCCAAAAACTGATCCACTATCTACTTCATCTGTTGCATCAGTAATAAGTGGTGGATCATAATTCAATAGACGATCGTGCATATCTTGTAAAATATTTACAATGCTACGTTGAAATGAATCTTCTCTTACCATTCCTGAGGCAACAAGTGCATTATATCGTGAAATGGGTCCAGCTGTATAGCAAATTATAAAATTGTTATTCTCAAATTTATTATATTATATAACTAATTAGGTAATTTGAATTTATTGTTTACCGTTCGATATTGAAGTGTTTTCTAATAAATAATTAGCATCTAAAGTCCTTAAATTGTTTTCACTAACAAATGGACCTACAGAAGAATAGTTATCTGCAACAATTTCGAGGTTTCCATTAGAAGTTGCTAAAGAGCTCTTTGAATATCCTTTGACCTTAAACCTAATGGTGCGTGATTTCAGTGTGTCCTGTGTTTTTAAAACAGAATACTTTCTAAAAATACAAGAGTATCGTGCATTAAAAGTCGATCTACCATGATATTGTATTGTCCTATTCAATCTAGAAAAAGAGTAAGAATAAGCAAAAGTTCGAGTTAATTTACTAAGGTTTTCTATTGTGGTCATCGGTTCAGATTAATAAAAAGAAAGACGCTTCAAGTGTTTTTTTTAAGTGTATTTACTGCATCCATTTTTAATTTAGTGTGGAAAATCTATTCTTATTATAAACTTAATCAATAAATTTCTCAATATTTCTAGCAAATTCTATTAATTGAATATAAATACTGTACATACTGTACGGAGTTCAAATTTATCAAATTTCCTATATAAGTTACTTCAACATATAAAGTTATAATGTCTGTTCGTTGTTTTTTTGATATCGATATTGGTGATGTGCGCGAAGGTCGAATTGTCTTCGAATTGGTAAGACGAAAAAATTTTCTTTGATTGAAACACGAAAGAAAGCGCGAGTTTATGCACTTTAACGCGTTCATGTGTCGTTTATTAAATAGTTTGACGACCTTATACCAAATACTGTTGAAAATTTTCGCGCGCTCTGTACAGGTAAAACCACATTACCATAATTAAGATAATGATAATTTTTAAACAATTTCTCAATTAACAATATAATTATTAAACTTTACTAGGAGAGAAGGGTATTGGTAAATCCGGTTACCCACTGCATTATAAAGGTAGCACGTTTCATCGTGTGATCAAGGCAAGTTTTCAAAAATATTTTGATATATTCTTTTTTATGTAATTTTTTTCTTATTTGTCTCATGAAATAGGGTTTTATGATTCAAGGTGGTGATTTCACCAGAGGCGATGGTACGGGAGGTGAAAGTATTTATGGAGACAAATTCGATGGTTTGTAAATTCGATTTCTTTAGTAAATTTACTTTTAGCTTCATTAACTAACCTTGATATTCTTATAGATGAGAGCTTTGACGTGAAACATGACGAACCTTTTCTATTGTCGATGGCGAATGCTGGTCCAAACACGAATGGTTCTCAATTTTTCATTACTACGGGAAAGGTATTATAGAACTTCATTGTTTGATTCTTTTCCTCAGGCTTACGATAGTTTATTCACTTTCATTCAGGCGACACATTTAGATGACAAACATGTGATATTTGGTAGAGTATTAAAAGGTAAATCGGTAGTCCGAGCCATTGAGAATAACCCAACTGGAACTAATGATAAGCCGATAAAGAAGGTTACAATTGTTGATTGTGGAGAATTGAAAGAAGACGAAGATGACGGCGTACCAGTTCCAGCGGATGGCGACACTTACGAGGATTGGCCCGGTATTATCTCTTTAAAATTTGAATTTATTATTATTATAATTATTATTTGTTAACTGAAATATAAAATTATTTTTCACTTTTATAGAGGATGAATCTGGATCTTTAAAACCTGAAAAGTTGTTAGAAATTGCTCAAAAAGTTAAAGATATTGGAAATGATTATTTCAAAAAAGGAGATTATTTGAACGCAAGTAAGAAATATACCAAGGTATCATAAAAGTTGAAATTTTATTTTTATTTTATTTTCTTCTTATGATTGATTATTTCTTTTTTATTAGGCAATTCGTTATTTGAATGAGAAAACAACATTTGAAGATGATGATCCACCAGAACTGGAAAAGAAATTCTATTCACTTAAAATCTCATGCTATCTTAATAAAGCTGCATGTTCACTTAAATTGCAAAATTGGAAAAACGCCGTTGATGATACTACCATAGTACTTGAAATGTCACCAGAATATCTGTTGGACGCAGATAAGGCTAAAGCATTGTATAGACGTGGTAGTGCTAAAGTTGGTATGAAAGATGAGGAAGAAGCTGTAAAAGATTTACAACAAGCATCAAAATTAAATCCTCAAGACGCTGCAATCGCGAAAGAAATAGCTATTGCTAAACAAAAACTCAAAGCTCGTGAAGAAAAACAAAAGAAAGCATTCGCAAAAATGTTCGAATAAAACTTGCATTCAAAATAAAATTTTATTTTTTTAAAAATAATTTATTTCTTTTTCTTGTTCTTTAAAGAAGCATTTTTTGTTTTCATGGAATTATTATTTTTAAACGTCACTAATGTTTCCTTAACTCTTTTAGTTTGTTTTGATGCCGATGAAGTATCTAATTTCTCAGGAAATCCGATTTTTTTTTGAATAATGGGTAACTGAAAAATTAAATTTTGTCCAATACTAAACGTACTGGATGATAACCAATATAAGCAAATTGCCTAAAAAAACAAGAAATTAATAATCAATACAAAAAAAAACCGAATAAATTTAATTGCTAAATTTACCATAGGTGCCTGAGAAGCGACAGGTATCATTAGTATGGATAACCCTCTACTTAAGTTTTTTAATATTTTCGACCTAAGACTTGGTTGAGATTTAGTAAACCATGAATGTATCTAAAAAAAAAAAGTATGTTTCAATTTTTTTGAACGGATTAAAATTATGTAAATTATAATTTAAAATTACCTCAATATTAAGAAGATTTGTAAGTCCTATGGCTAAGGGGAAAATATATAAAGGATCTGTTTGCGTTAAATCATTAAACCATAATATCCCACCATTTATTAGTGTATCTGTTGATATATTATCAACGGAGGTAATATTAGTTATAATGTCCACTTCTGATGTAGAGCCGATAATAGTGTTTTCAGGAATAGTTGAATTTGATTTTGTGGAATCTACCATATGCCTTATAGTTAGTGAATTACTTATGAAAAGCGGTATTTGTACCCAAGGTAATAAATAGTTCCTTATAGGAAAACATTTATTTGCTTTATATATTTCGTTTATTTTTGTTTTAAACTATAATTATATAATTAAACATTAATAATAATAAAGGAAAACAAAGTTATATATAACCAACCTTTTTTGTCAATTCACTTTGAAATTCTTCATAAGTCCCATTTCGCTTTTTAACTTCTCTCACAACCTCATGTTTAAGTCTTTCAAATATCTCCATTATTTGTGGCTGCAAAGATAATATTTTTGCACCATTTTTTTGTTGAATAATGGCAATGGGCAAAGTTAAAAAGGTTCGGAGTAAAATTGTTGATATTAATATAGTTGCCCACCAAGGAAGAACTGTCGAATTGTGTATAAATTCAAGAATAGATTGGTTAAATGATATTATGGAATTAACATCATTTGTAGGTAAATTTTCAGGTAAAGTATCGGCTATGGAAGGATAAGAAAAATCTACTATTTCATTTGTATTTGAATTTGTTAAAGTTGAAGTTGAGGAAACATTTCTTTTATTTAAATAGATAATGCTTTTAACTTGTGGAATTCTATTATGTCGAAATGAATTATGAAGAAATGGATTATTTAAAAATGAAGTTTGTTGCAATTTTCGTGGAATAATTTTACAAAACTTGAGCATAATTTTGAATAAAAAATTCTAAATCGTAACCTTTTTCTTTTGATGCTTTAAATAATCTTGCCTTTCTTGGAAAAATCTAAAAAAATATATATGTTCATGTGACATTTCCTAGTTGTATTTTAACTACTCCACGAAAAAATGGAGAACGATAGTGAAGACGACATTGACTCTAGAGAGTCTCAGCAAAGTTCAGATGCTGAAGCCCCTGATCGCTCTCCATATTCTGAAGGTATCATAAAAACTTTTGTTCTTCAGTAAGTTTTTTCTTACCTGAATCTCTGACGCGTTTGTCCTCTCTTTTTAGAGAATTTAGACTTAGAAGACGTGGTTGCTCCTTATAGCTTTTCGAGTACAAACGCTGCCGCTACCCACACAAATCGTACACTTCAGCCGTTTGCAGCTGATTGTAAAACTTACGATATTGTACCATATGTAGGTTATATTTCTCTGTAAAGCATTTATTTTAAATGATCTCAATAAACTTCTGAATGTTTAGGTAGCGGCTATACATGCGTGTCAAATTTATGCACTTGATGCGACAAGAAACATGCGTTGGGTATTTACTGGTGGTGATGATGGTTTTGTAAGGAAATACGATTTTTTTGCTTCAATGGGAGGCAAAACGTTATTAACGCAAAATCAAAAACATACTCAAGTGGAATCTGTTCAAAAGGTGCGATAGGGTAATTATTATTCTTTGATTTTAAATTATCGAAATACATTATAAATTTTTAATGAAAATATAGGCAGGTGTAATCCCTTCATATTGGGAAAATGAAGAGCAACCATTACCACCTGCAACTCCTAAGCCTGGTAAGTCGAGATAATTAATTTAATCTCTAAATAATATGGTTAATTTATTTTTAACTTATTAGAAAAGATAAACGGACCCACAGAAGATGGTACAACTCCAACAAGTGTCATTGAACCTCCAGTTCAAGAACTAAAAATGTCACCAGTTTATAGCCTAGCGGTTCAATCTGAAGCCATTTGGCTTTTAACGGGAATGGAGGTAAGCTTTTTCTATAATGAGAGGTCACATATAGTGCAGTGAATTGTGATTGCATTAATCACCCGATAAATCGGGTTTACTTTCTTCGTTTTGTCATTAAAGTTTAAAATAACACGTGTGCATCCAGAGCGGCGCAATTAATTTATTCACTGTCAGACATGAAGAAGGAAAATGCCATCATGTCTTACGACAACATAAAGCTCCAGTATCTGTTTTAAAAATAACACAAGATGAAACTGGATGTGTGAGTGGTTCTTGGGATAAAACAGTATTAGTAAGTTTATCTTTTTTGAAATTTATTATTCTTTGATTATTTTTATTTATTTATTTGTATAATTTAGCATTGGGACCTTAACACTGGTCAAGTCGTACGCGAGTTTTCTGGTCATAGTTCGCAAATTAGTTCCATATCATTTCGTCCATTTACAAACACTTCTTCTCGAACATCTGGGCAAAGTTCCCCCGCATCATTTGATCCACTTTTCGATGAACCGGAAGATATGCTAACGCATTCCAACGACGTGTTGCTTACAACAAGTATTGATGGTAATTGTTTTGTATGGGATAAAAGGGCAATGAACTCTATTCCAAGAAAAATGCCACCGCCTGAGAGAACTCCTCCGTGGTGTTTATCGGTATATTTGAATTTTTTTTCTATACTTGTAATATCATAATTATGACACATTTAGAATATTTAGAATCTTTCATTATTAATTAGGCATGTTGGAGTGCGGATGGTAATAAAATCTATTGTGCTAGACGTAATGGCACTGGTGAGCAATTTATGAATATTACAGGCCATTAAAAATTAGTATCATTTTTTAATTTTCTAATTTTATATCAAGTTGATGAGTGGGATTTTGTATCCGGAAAATTTATTCGTTCGTTTAAAATGCCAAGTGGATCGGGTCCAGTGTCTTATGTATCAAGTATGCCCAATGGAAAACATATTATTTGGTAAGTCTTAATATTTTGAGTATTTTGAGACAAATTTTAATTTCCTTTATTGCAATATATAGCGCTTCTACAGATAATATAAGACTGTGGAATGTTATGGATGATTATGAATTATCTAAATCGGCTGTACCGTTCTTAATTGTACCTGGACATCATGGAGGAACAATTTCTCAAATATGTATCCTCTTATTTCTTCACATATATAGTTTTCTTGGCTATATTACCCTTAACTTTTGTTCCATTTTTATTTTAAGTAATTGATCACGATTGTCGCTATATGATAACAACTTCCGGTAATAGAGGTTGGGAAGGATCAAGTACTGAAACTGCTTTGTTTTATGAAATATTACCAGTCATTTAATAATTTCTGAATTATATTAATTAAGAATCATTTAAATATTAAATATAAGTAATATGTGTTTGCATTTATTTAAGAGAATGAGAATGGAATATTAGGTTCATAAAAAGCAAATAAACAAATATTAATTAGAACTTCAATCTATTCGGGTATTTTGGCTGTTTTCCCAGTTTTTTTGATGGCTTCAATTATCTCGTTAGGTGATTTAGCAGTTTTAACCACTACAGTCTTTTTTTCGAGATCGAAGTCGATTGATTCCATCCCTTCCCAAAAAATATAAACAAATTAACTAAGTGAAAATATAAAAAATTATCAAATAATAAGTACCTCCGAGATTATTTAACGCTTTTTCAACAGCTTTTGTACATCCTGAACAAGTCATTGGTTCAACCTCGAACGTATAGGTTGTTTGCTATGTCGAAAAGAAATAAAAGGATTAGAATATGTAAGAACTAAATATATTTACAAAAAAAATAAAATATACATTTTCGCTCATTTTAAGAGTTTTCTGATTGAAAAGTAATAAACGTATCTTACGTGTTTTTGGACGATCATTTAGCAGTAGGTCTATATAATAGGGCAATAACAGCTGATATATCGTTACACAACCGACTTGACCGAAATTTTATACAGTTGGCTCGCGTTATAACGAATTTGCTGATCTGACCTTCGTTATGGAAAAATTCGGTAACGGATTTTTTGACATCCATATAGCAAAATTCGGAATATTGATTGTATACCGAATTTTTATTAAATATTTTAAAGTAAATTTATGTAAATAAATGTAAATTATAGTATATTTATATTATTTATTATTAAGATATTAATAAATCATTAAAATTCGTTTGTCTCGCAGAAATAAAACGTTGTTTTAATGCCTCCTCCTTAAGTTTTTTAATGCATCTTAATTCTTTTTTCATATCGAATTTATCCTCTTATTGCTCTAAATACAAAATCATCTTATCTGTTATCATAATGTTCAATGGCCTCGCTATGAGTAATGGATGGTAAAGGATTAGAATTTAGTTCTTCTACCTCTTGTTCATGATTATTGGGAAGAACTACTTTCAAAATTTCTTCACTGGATATCATTTCTGTTATAAGTTCAGATTCATCCCATTGAATAAATTCATCAGCAGTTAAAGGATTTTCAAGATTAAGTTTATCAATTAAATGAACTTCTTTCAGCTCATTCGTATGTGTTAGAAGAACTTGTGTTTCAGCACAGAAATCCATATCAATTTCATTTTCATTATCTTTAGGTAAAATATCTGCTTTTAACCAGCAATTTTCAATAGTAGATTGAGTGACATTATCCCATGCATGTATGACATATTTGATGCACTTTTTGATATTAATTTCAACAGGGTTAATGCCAAATTCACAATAATAATTTTCAGTATTGTACCTGAAATAAAAATTAAATTTTTTATAGTTAATAAAATTTTTTCATTGAGAAAGTTCATTTTCAAGTTTTTGCTAAAGTATTCTTTTTCTAATTAAATTAGAAATAATGTATAAATAAAACTAAGCAAACGCATAAAGTATCAACACGTAATAATGAACCTCCATGTTGAAAATGTTTAATATAAGTTTCTTTAAAATGACAAAAATTCTAAATGATTATTAGTTGTAGGAATATTAATATTTATATTTAAAATACAAGCTGCTCCTTGATGACCAATTAATGACTATGCATGAATTAAATTTCCACACCGACATGATATTAAATATTTTAAAAACTGAATAGCTCCTTCAAGTAAAGCACATATTTGATTATTTTTTGCAGCATTCAATTGAACCTGTATTAATAAATTCAGTATAAATTAAATAAATTTATTAAGTTATCATTATAGTAATTAATAATATCTGAAAAACATTTTGCAAATTTTGTATAGTTAATTTAATTCCATTAATACTATCTATATTTTTAATTTGTATTAAAACTCCTTTAATACATATGGGCTGATTTGTTTTTTTTGTTTTTTTGTTTTTTTTATTAGCAATAAATGTTAAAGATCAATACATATGGGAAGTCTAATGACTTATACATAGGAAGGCAGGCAATATGGTTAGAGCTAAGGTTGCTTGCCGAAACCTAGGGGTTTAGGCAAGATGGCGTTTCGCCGAAAAGCGAAATTCTGCCGAAACTATATTAAAGTTATATTAAAAAACTGGCGAAACTTTGGAGAAAGAAGAAACTGCAAAAACTTATTATAAATGCCAAAACTGCAAAAACTCTGCCAAAACTATAATAAATCTATAGTAAAATTTTGACGAAACTAATCGTAGGATTTTGAAGAGGTTAAGACAAGCAACCTTAGTTAGAGCTCTGATCGGTTTTGGTAACTACTGAACCGTACTGATCGGTTTCGATATCAGAACGGTTTCAGTATTCTGATTTACTGAACCGAACCTTTCAGTAAATTTACCGATCGGTTTCGGTAATTTCAGTTTTGGTATCAGTTTTGCGATTTACTGAACCGATTTACCGAACTGAAACTTTTGGTAAGTTTTGGTAAATTTTACCGATCAGTTTGGTAAATTTTACCGATCAGTTCAGTAGATTTTACCGTTCAGTTCATTAGATTTTACCGTTCAGTTTGGTAGATTTTACCATTCAGTTTCGGTAAATTTACTGAACTGATTTACTGAATTTTGCGAAACATTTATTAGTTAAAAAAAGTTGCGCAACGTTTTTTCTTTTGATGATTTTATAAAAACGTTGCGAAACATTTTTTATTTGGCAATTTGGTAAAAAAAAGTTTCGCAACTAGGGCCCCGGGCTTCAATCATACCAATAAGGATGACTGTAGTATTGCGGCAAAAATCATAAAAAATAAAAGCGTTAAACTTGACGTTTTTATAATTTTTTTATTTAATTAATTAAAAACGTTGAACTTCGCGCTTTTTGATTAAAAAAAAAAATTAAATGTTTTGGTTAAAAAATGCCGCACTTGACATTTTTTAACTAATTTTATTAAAAAAACGTCAAAGTGCGACGTTTTTAATAAAAAAATTTTTTTTTATTTTTTAGTTTAAAAACGTCGCACTTGACGTTTTTTAACTAAGTTAATTTATTTTTTATTAAAAAAATGTTAAAATGCGACGTTTTTAATAAAAAATTATTTTTTTTTTTATTTTTTAGTTTAAAAACGTCACACTTGACATTTTTTAACTAAGTTAATTTATTTTTTATTAAAAAAACGTTAGAATGTGGCGTTTTTAATAAAAAATATAAATTTTTTATGATTTTAGTTTAAAAACGTCGCACTTGATGTTTTTTAACTAATTTAATTTATTTTTTATTAAAAAACGTTAAAGTGTGATGTTTTTAATAAAAAAATACAATTTTTTTTATTTTTTAGTTTAAAAACGTTACACTTGACGTTTTATAACTAATGTAATTTATTTTTTATTAAAAAACGTTGCATTTGACATTTTTTTAATTTAATTTAATTTATTTTTTATTAAAAAACGTCAAAGTGCGACGTTTTTAATAAAAAAATACAATTTTTTTTTTGATTTTTTAGTTTAAAAATGTCGCACTTGGTGTTTTTTAACTAATTTTTTTTTATTAAAAAAACGTTAAAGTGCGACGTTTTTAATAAAAAATACATTTTTTTTTTGATTTTTTAGTTTAAAAACGTCGCACTTGGCATTTTTTAACTAATTAATTTTTTTTCTTATTAAAAAACGTCAAAGTATGACATTTTTTCTTTTCTTTTAACAATATTAGTAATAAATTCTTTTTTTTTTAATCATCATTCTTCTCGCCACAAATCACATGATTGCAAAATCGCACAATCAATATTACAGAATTGAGTATTCTGATTTAATTACCGAATTTTTGCAGATTGATCTTATCAATTTTAATCTTTTTTTACATTTTTTTCATTTTTTTTCATTTCTAATATTAATTATATTATAATAATAATAATAACTTTAATTACAATAATGACTTTTGAGTTCAAAGAAAATGACATTGAGAAAACAGCTGAGGAAGAAGCTGAGGAAGAGGCTGAGTATGAGACTGAGGAAAAAGCTGCCGAGAAAGAGGCTGAAGAAGAGGCTGAGTATGAGACTGAGGAAGAGGCTGAGTATGAGAATGAGGAAGAGGCTGAGTTTGAGACTGAAGAAAATCAAGTTGATGATACTGAAACTGAGGAACAGCAGATAGAAAAAAATATTGAGCGTGAAGTAGAACAAGAAGAAACTAATACGAAGAAATGTAGTTGGGTGTAGAAGCACTTCACATATGATGAAACTGTGAAGAAGGCAAAATGCAAGCATTGTAAGATTTTAATTGCTTGCAATAAAGGAAGTACGTCGGGAATGGCTGGTCATATTAAAAGTAAACATAAATTAATGAAAGAAAAAGAAAAAAAACAACTTACAATACGTGAATCTATTAATAATTCTGAAGTAATTGTAAGTATAATGTTTATTTCTTTTTATTCATGTAGGTTATAATTTTGTGCATTAAATATGAATATTTTAATTTTTAATTTATAAACTCATATATTCATATTTAGGTATATAGTAAAGAACCTTTTAAAAAATTTATTATTTGATGGATTGTAAAAAATGACCTTCCTTTTACTTGTGTTGAATCTAAAGATTTTTGTAATATGATTTCTCTTTTACGTAAAGATGCCTTCATTCCATCTGCTGATACAATCAAAAATTATATTATGACATCTTTTAATGATAATCAAAAAAAAGTTGCTTCTATTTTACAGGTTATATATATTAATGTTTTTTAATAATAGTTTTATTTGAATTTTACTAATTATTATTTTAATTTTTGTAGAATACGTCTAGTAAAATTTCTTTTATGATTGATGCATGGACTTTATCAAACAATTTTTCTTTTTTAGGAATAACAGCTCATTGGGTTACAGAAAATTAGAAATTAAAAAGTTTCCTTTTAGATTTTATTAAACTTGAAGGGCCGCACTCAAGTGCCAATATCAAAGATGCTTTTTTAAAAAGCTTAAAAAATTTTAATATTGAATCAAAGGTTAGTTTTTTTTATAAATAGTAAAATAATTTTAATAAAAATTAAAAAAAAAATTTATATAGATTCTTGGGGTAACGACTGATAATGCCAGCAACAATATTACATTTCTCAAAGCTGTTGAATCTGATCTTTCTCAAAGATATATCTATTATGATAGTGATGATAAGCACATTCGTTGCTTGGCCCATGTAATCAATCTAGCAGCGCAACAAGTCCTTACTACCCTTAAAGCCACAGATAATAATGAATCATCAAATGAAGAAGTTGGTAGTTTGATAGTTAAGGTAAATAATTTTATTATATTATTATTATTAAAATTTAATTAATAAATCTATTAAAAATTGTATTGCCTTTTAGCTTCATACTCTTATTAAAAAAATAAAAGCATCACTCCAACAAGTAGATAAATTCAAAGCTCAATGTAAAGTTGCAAATGTTCCAAATCTAAATGTCATACTAGATATTCGCACTAGATGGAACTCTACGTATGATATGCTTGTAAGGGCAAGAAACTTAAGGAAGTAAGTTTGTTATTTTATTAATTTTTATTTTAATTAATTTATTAAAAACAATTATAATTTTATTTTTAGCTTCTTAATATATTAAGTAACAGTGATTCAAATCTTCGTCCTTTTACAATTAATAAAGATGAATGGATTAATTTATTAGAAATAGAAGAGTTATTGAAGATTAAATTTTAATATTATATATATAATTATGTATTTTTATAGTTTTATTAAAAATTTTTATTTTTTAGTATTTTGCTAAAGCAACAAAGCAAATTTGTAGGGAAGCATACCCAATACTATCATACGTGATTCCTATATACAATATTTTGTTAAATAAATTAGAGAATTTTTGGGATACTCCAAATAGATTTGAAAATGGAAAAGTAAGTTTATTTATATTTAATATTTATATTAAATGTAATTAAATTCCTTTTTTTTAATAGGAAGCGGCAATTAATGCCATTAATAAGCTTAAAATTTACTACAATAAAACTGATTCAACTTTATATGCAGTTTCTTTAAGTAAGTTATTATTAAGTTAATTTAATTTAATTAATTTTAATAATGTTTGTAATATATATAGTTTTAGATCCACGTCTTAAAGTAGAATATATGAAAGATAATGAATGGGAAACCCAATGGGTTGATAGAACAAAAAAAACTGTATAAGTTTTATTTGTTTTATTTAAATTATATTATAATTTTCTTTATTTTATACATACTATATAATAATTTAATAGGTATCTGAACTCTATATGACGTTATATGCACCTCAAGAAACTCAAAATACTAATATAGAATATAATTCATCAGATGAAGATCTTGTTTCACATATTTCCAAATGGCGCCGTATTGAAACTGTAAGTGAATTTGATCGTTATCTTAATGCTGATCGTGCACAAGCTCTGTGTGATACTTTAAATTGGTGGAAAGTAAGTTTATTATTTTAAAGGATATTTATTTAATTAAATATTTGTAACAATTTTTTAATTAATAGCGACACGAGGAAGAATATCCTAACTTATCGAACATGGCCAAGGACTACCTTGGGGTCCCAAGTTTATTACTAATCTGTTTTATTTATTATTCAATAATATTTTTTAATGTAAAATATTTTATTTGGTAGCAACGAGTGCTCCTGCTGAACGTATTTTTTCCAGCGCAGCTGACGTAATAACATATGATAGAGCAAGTCTTGCACTTGAAACTGTGCGTGCAGTCATGTGTCTGAAGCATTGGTTTCGTTCAGGTATTTTAGATTAAAGTTAGGTTTATTAGTTTTTCATATTTGAATTTTGTTATTTGAAGTTAGTTATTTGGATGGAGAAGAATTGGATACTCAGGAAAACTTTGGATGAATAATTTACATCAAAAGAAGATGATTGATATAATTTCTTACGATAACCTCACTTCTTTATAACATAATGTTGAAAATGTATGGAAAATGTGTGATGATAGCTTTTAATTTTGACAAATAAAATTGTTAAACCCGATCCAATTCAATCAAAGTCTTACGAAAATGCTTTTTCATAACCAATTTAATAAAAAAAAAAATGGATCGTTGATGTTTTTTTAAACAAACGTTGCAAAACTGTGTTTGTTTCGCAACGTTATTTTTTGAAATAAAAACGTTTTTTATTAGTTACACCGGTCAAATGATGAAGTATCGGGTAATAACATATCAGGGCATGATATGCAATATTAAACGATATGTTTAATGGTTTAGTTTATTTGCTTATTTGCGTACAATATTTATCGATTTTTATTTTAGGTATTGTACGGTATTGTATTTATATTGGTTAACGTCATGAAATATTACATGATCGAAGTTTCTCTTAAAAAAAAAAGAAAATAAAATTTTTTTTTCATTTTGAAAAAAAGTATTTTTTCATTTTTTCAGTTACCGCAGAAATCGTTTCAGGTAGATTACTGCAGAATTGATGTCTCCTTTTCTCCTTTTCTGAAAAGGAGATTACTTTAGTCATACTATATAGATTTTAGTAGAACTTTCGAATGGGAAAATTTTGCAACATTAGTATGTTCCTTATTCTGATGATGTTTATCAAGAAGGGAGTTTTAGAAATAAACTTCAAGAAACGAACTAACGTTTCTTTTTTTAAATTTATAAGATTTAGCTTTTCTGGAGAGGACTTTTAGACGGTAAGTTTGTTTTTTGGGAGTTGAGTTTTGAAATTAACTTCAAGAAACGTACTAACGTTTCTTTTTTTTAAATTTTGTAGGTTTTAGCTTTTCCGAAAAGAACTTTTGGATGGTAAGTTTGTTTTTTGGGAGTTGAGTTTTAAATTTGACTTCAAGAAACGTACTAACGTTTCTTTTTTTAAATTTTGTAGGTTTTAGCTTTTCTGGAGGGGACTTTCAGATGGTAAGCTAGTTCTTTGGGACTCGATATACTGTTTTTAGGGTTTCAGAATTGAATTTAACGTTTCTTTTTTTCCAATTTTATAGGTTTTATCATCAGAAACACCTTTAAGATATGGCTCAAATTTTTATTGTAATTCAAGCCGACGACAACAATTTCAATCTTCATTTCATGGACTTAATATTCCTAAGTTTCAACGGACTGTACAGCGTCATTTTTCCTCACAAAAACAATGGATGCGATACCTTTTGAGCGATCACTTTGATCAAAGTTAAGGTTAACTTGATGTACAGACTGATCATCATTGAGGAAATTTCCAAAGATTTGCTTCTGTGACTTTATAGGCGAGGTATGAAACAAGAATTTTCCTTTTGGTGATGCGTTGAGATTTAGTGGCGCCATAGCAGCAGTATTACTGTAAGGGTGAAGTCTAACTTGTGAAAATTGAGAATTTCTGACATGGCTGCTGCTTAGCGATCCTCTTGATGGCCTTTAGAGTATGAACTTGAAACTGAAGTTTAAATAATGAGAAACAGGTGTAAGAAAATAACCACACGGTATATGAAGAAAATTGTAAATTATTCAATTGAAATAATCTACTAAGAAATAAAGATTCTTATGGGTCTCTGGAACGAAATTCTGGATGGTAAGTTGTTTTATTTGAGGTGGAGATGCCATTGGCTTTTAAAACATATTGACGTTTCTTTTATATTGCTTTTGTAGGTTTACGGTTATTTTGATGTAGCTGCATATTATTATTCATAATAATTATATAGTACATTATTAATATTATAAATACACAATTACTGCATTTAACTGTGAAATCTCATGAAATTCACGATGTCTAAACCATGTACTGTATAGATGATCGCTAGTCAGGAATTTGTACGAACTAGAAATAAAAAATTATACATGTACTGCTGTAAATAATAAATATTTCGTTCCAATAGAATGAATGACAATAAACAAATGGTTATATTAATTACAAAACGTTTTTTTAAAAAAAGCTCAGTAAATCGGTTCGGTTTTTGGTAATTACCAATACCAATCAATTCGGTTCGATATCAGTTTTTGCAAAAACTGAACCGAACCGAACCGATCGGAGCCTTAATTAGTATAAATATTTAATAATATTTTTGCAATTATATGTATTTCTTGTACACTATTTTGTATTTTTATTTGCAATTTGTTCAGGTAAAAGCTTATAATTTTTTAAAAATTCTCTAACTTCACTTTGCTATTCATTTGTCTATTCTATTATAATTACCTCTTCATTATTAATTGCAGATTGTAACAAAACCTTTTGATTATCTTTTAATAATAAAAGATGAGAATTTACTTTTCTTTTACATTTCTAAAATAAAGGATAAAAAGAATATTAATATACTAACTTAATAAATATTGTAATTTAATATGTTTTTTTGCCAAAGTATACATGAAAAAAAGTATAAATATAATAATAAGTTCATTACTATAAAAATTTCAAATAAAAATTACTTGTAATATGACTCTAATTCACAAAATTTTACATGACAATTTTTTAACATTAGAAAAGTAGGTAGCATAACAAATAACAAAAAATATTGACTCATCATATAATTAAAATAGCATATGACCTAAAATTAATATTATTTATTTTTAGAAGCAGAGGTAGGATAACTGCTTAGAAATGAATCAGGTTTTAAAAAGTCTTAATTAATAAAGTATTAATATATAATTACTACTAGTATTGTAATAATTATAATTATTGTTAATTATATAAATATGTATTATAATATAATAGGACTGGGAAAACTTATAATAAAGGTCACTGGATAATAGTAAAATGATGGTTTTGCCCAAATTAATAAAAATTTTTCTTAAGTAATTAAACTAAAAATCTAACAAATATTATACAAAAATGTCTGAAAAATAAAATGAATCATAAATTATTCTTTTAATATCAATATTAACTGAGATCATTAAATTTTTCAAAAAAAAATTTATAATAACGCAAATCACTTTTTAAAAAATTTATTAATTATGCGAACTACCTTTTTGCATTATACAGAATATATAAAAATCTAAATTGAGTGTATAAATCATACATTTAATTCTAAACTTAAACAGATAAGTTTAATCCACATATTTTGGCTTTATTAAAAATTGTATATATAAAAAATTCAATGGACTTTACTAGTGTGCTGAGTACTACAGTAACCTCCATTATAGGTTTTTCTGATCCTAATATAATATATATATATCATATTGGGTCTTTGCAATAAAAAGGTATGAAACTCAAACAATATCAAAAATTGAATTAATATTAAATTTGCATTTATTTCAGTAAAAAAAACATAATCATATGTGCCGATTTTTGGAATTAGTCTAAATTAAGATTTTTATAAAAATTTAATATTTTAGTAAGATTAACATTACACAAATCTAAATTAAATATGTGTTACATATTTACATAACTCAGATTTAATAAAAAATAAAAAAATTTTTTTAATCAATATTCAAAAATAACGGTAATAACCCTGTCTCTTATACACATCTAGATGTGTATAAGAGACAGGCAGTATAAAATAACAGAGAAACTAGCAAAGTTCAAAATAAAAATTCTATATAATTTTGAGCGAATATGCTTGCTAGCGCGNATACATAGATAAGACATATTTTTTCATAATTTTTAGCTTTAATTTATTGTTTTTTCTTTGTAAAAAATACATGCAAATAAAAAATAATTATGATGTAAAATAGTTGTAAAATGATTATAGTGCTCCGAAACGAGTCGAGTTGACTCACGAGTTGGTCGAGTCGAGTCGAGTCAAGTCGAGTTGAAAATTACAATCAAATCGAATTGATTCGAGTCGAGTTAATAATTTAATAAAATCGAGTCGAGTCGAGTTAAGCCGAATTAAACATAATTCCGGCCAAATTTATGGAATTTCCTTTTTTTGGAAATTATGTTACACAAAATCCGAGACGAAAATTTTTTGAAAATTACAAAAATGGAATTTTGTGGAACGGCTATCGCCAAAAAAAGGAAATGATTGGCATAGCCAAATAAAATCACGTGATTTAATTCGACTCGACTCGATTCGGTTTGACGGGCCAACTCGACTCGAATCAAGTCGAGTTTATATTTTTATAATTTTAACTCGACTCGACTCGACTCGTTCAGAGCTAAAAATGAATAATAAGATATTCTTTTTTTCAAAATAACTAATTATATATTTGTTTTTTATCTTTTAAAATTATTTTATTAGATTTATTCTACTAAAATCCTTAAATGGCAAATAAAATCTTTTAAATAAAGTAAAAGAATTTGGGATTCTTTTATGAAAGCATTTTTTGGTAAGAAATAAAATTTTCAGATCAGACTTTATGCAGGTGACAAAATCGTTCATTATTATTCCTGGAGATATGCTAACGTCATCATTTTACATTCATTTGAAAGCAGAGAATTAGCACTATCATAAGAATAAAAGATCAGGAAAATTGGATCACTGGATGAGGCGTAATTAACGATCAAAGTCAAATCAAATTTAAAAATTAAAAATAAATATATTAGACGTAATTATTCACAATCCAGTGATTCAATTCATTCGATTTTAGGC